TCACCCCACGCAGCCTGCTGTTCAGTCATTTGGTCATCCCTCACTAACCCCCCTGCTGGCCTAGTCGTAGGCAGCCATCTTGTGAGGGTGTGAGGGTTAATTTGCATATTACCTCTTTATTATATAGGATGCCTTGGATTTGGAATATTTTATGTTTGCCACTTGTACGAATGATTCTTAATGTGGCTAAATAGCCCAATGAGTCCATCTGTCAGTGCCTTTCTTTTGTCAGGATTGCCACTGTACTCCTCTGCCTTAGCAAGAATTTGTGTGTGTTTTTTAAAATTATTTAATTTTATTGACTGTACTGGGGTGACATTGGTTAATAAAATTATATAGGTTTCAGGGGTACAATTTTATAATACATCTTCTGTATATTGTATTGTGTGTTCACCACACCAATGTGTTTGTTCTTAATGCCTACACATGTACCTTATTACTATAAGATGCAAAGATCCTTGCTTTCTGTTAAAGGTCCCTAGTATAAAATCTATGGGTCTGAAGTATTGGTATTTTATTTCTTAGGACTTTATTAATACAAATTCACCATAAGAGAATATGCTTCCTCATTCTGGTAACCATCTGTTACCAGATTATGAGCCATTAATGGATTAGCAAAATTTTAAAATCATGAAATATTTATTTATTTTGAAACAATTTTTATTGATTTAGAGAGAGAAGGGAGAGATAGAGAAAGAAACATAGATGTGAGAGAGAAACACCTATTGGTTGCCTCCCACACGTGCCCTGACCAGGATTGAACCCACCACCTTTTGGTATGCTGGACGACGCTCCAACCAACTGAAACACAGCAGCCAGGGCAAAATCAGAAAATATTTTAATAATTTTACCCTGCATCTACCTCTCTGCTCTCGTGCTAGCTATGTATAGACACACTCTTAACCAAAGTGTTAATGATTTTGTGGAAGAAAGAGCTAAAATGCTCTCTGGCCAACTGAATTATGGTCAGAGATGCTTTGATTTGGATGGGTAGATTCACTTTCAATGTTCAGGTGTAGTATTCAGATGTCATGATGAACTTATAGAGCTAATTAGAAAACCAAGCCTTAGTTTAAGGGAATTTCAGGTAGTTTTTTAAGATTAATACTCTATTGCTAGAAAAACATATATTGGTCATTTATGCATGGCTTAGAGTTAAAAGTTTGGTGACAGAAATACTTGGAGTGTATACATTTATATTTTTTGTAACGTGTAGTAGTTTTAATAGAATCCTGTAACGACATTAAGTCTTAATTTTTACTTCTTTTAAGGATCTTCCTGGTTTTTGCATTGTGTACTACACGGTACTTATTAATGCTGCTTTCCTCATAAGCGTCCACAAGATACTCCCATTTAGAACAGCCCCAGGATTAGAAACAACCATCTAAACATATGTAGACACTTATACAGAGAATATAAAAAGAGTTTGAAATATTAATTGGACAGAAAAGGACCAATTCTAGATTGGCTTGAAGTTGGAGTTTCAAATATAGGCCTTTGCTTTGCTTTGATGTTTGAAAAAGTCGGCCTTCTCTTGGCATTGCTGATGGCCTCTTCTTGTCCCATTTTACAGGGAAGCACCACTGCCATTTGTGCCACAGGCCTTCGCAATTTGGGGAACACGTGTTTTATGAATGCCATCCTTCAGTCACTCAGGTAATATGACAGCGCTTAAGTATCTGCTGTTTCTAGTGGAGTAGTTAAGAGCAAAGGCTGTGGGTTCAGATCCTCTCTGCCATCGACTCTAGTCATATGGCTTGGGGCAAGTTACCTCAGTTCCTTAGATTTCTCATCAGTAAAATTGGGGATAATAATTCTACCTCACAGGTAATTGCATAGTATATAATGTAATTTATATAAAGTGCTTATTAGAAAAGTGCCTTGCATTAAGTAACTGCTGGCGGTTATTATTTATTTTCTGTTGCTTCTTGAATAGGCTAGAGCAGAGACCAGCAAATTTCTTCTGTAAAAGGCCAATATAAATAAATATTTTTTAATCTTTGCCTGCCACATACAGTCTCTCACATATTCTTTTCCCCTCAATCGTGCCCTTCCCCCCATTTTTAAACATCTGTTTTAAAATGTAAAAGCTCACTGACCCAGGGCCAGATATGGTGTGTGGGCTGTAGTTTGCAGACTCCTGGGCTACAAGGAACCTTGTTCAGAAAACTTATTTGAATCATTTGTTGAGCCTTAAGTGTAGTCATAAGATTGGATGTTTAGAAGATCTTCAGACTTTAAGATAAGCAGTAAAAATAAAATGGTCAAGAAGGCTGCCCTAAGTTGTATAGAATAAATTATTTTGAAAGTTGTGTACTTTTAGATTTTAATGAGCCATCAAAAGTCAGAATAAATTATCTTCCCAAGACCACCTTGGGAATAAGGCAGAAGCCATATTTTATTTCTTCTTAAAGGTACTGTTAGCTTATCCAGTTTGCCCAAAGAAGAAATTTTAGTCACTACTGAATTCTCCTTGTTACTCTTTATAGTGTCTCTAAACAGTATGTTTGGTTTTATGGATTGTTTTTATTTGAGAGAATTGTTGACCACCTACAAACACCCTGAGAAGAAAGAAATGGTGACCACCATTTCTAAAGATGTGTGGGGAGGGGAGATTGAGGATTTTTTTGAACAGAGATTTTGTTTTAAGATCTTTGTTCATTTCTGCAGTCATCTATTTATACTTAGTATAAATGTGGGAACTTAATGAAGATACCCAGTGCAAGAGAATACATTGAGTACAATTTAAATGAAAAATTGAGATTGTGTTTTCACAAAAACCATATGTAGGTTTCATAGAACTTTCTTTACAGTAAATTAAAAAAAATAATTTTCTTCCCTTCCTTTTTAAATAGTAACATTGAACAGTTTTGCTGTTATTTCAAAGAACTGCCCGCTGTGGAGTTAAGGAATGGGAAGACGGCAGGAAGGCGAACATACCACACCAGGAGCCAAGGGGATAACAATGTGTGAGTTCTAAGACTATATCCTTTCTGGCTTTGATACAAAACAAAAGACTCTTACTGGTGATTTCCATTGCATATGTGAGTTCAGAGGCACATACATTTTTAAAAAACTCTTCTAAAAATTCTGTTTAAGTATCTAGCAGGTAATCTTAATAATTGTTGAAATTCTTTTAAATGTATTTACCTAAAAGCCAGCATAAATTTAGCACTCTGCTTACTGAGTCTTTGTGAATTTGGACATTCTAAAACTGACATCTATATATGAAATACAGTTTTAGGTGTAGACCAGCATGAATATCACTAGTCTTTGTGAATTGACTTGTCTGATATTGTTAGGAAAACCTGTCTTGGATAGTAAAATTAAATTGTAGTCATCAAATTAATTACAGGGACAATACAGTTAATTTTTCATTGACATGAAGAGGGGAAGAATTGATAAGTGATTATTGAGAACCAATATCTATTCAGTGCAGCCACACACTATTTGGGGTTTAGAAGATCTATCATATTATCATGATTGTAAGGGGCACATTTTTTACATATCTTACCATTACTGTAACAGGTCTATGGTTTATAATCTGGTGTGTGTGTTTTTTATTCTTACCCAAGGATATTTTTTCCATTGATTTTTAGAGAGAGTAGAAGGGAAAGGGAGAGACAGAGAGAAACACTGATGTGAGAGAGATACATCAATTGGTTACTTCCTGCGTGCCCCCAACTAGGGCTGGGAGCCTGCAGCCAAGGTATATGCCCTTGACTAGAATCGAACCTGGGACCCTTCAGTACGGAGGCTGATTATCTATCCACTGAGCCAAACCGGCTAGGGCAGTGGTCAGCAAACTGCAGCTCACGAGCCTCACGCGGCTCTTTGGCCCCTTGAGTGTGGCTCTTCCGCAAAATACTGACTTCTGCGCATGGGCCACGAAGTTCCAATCACACTGTACATGCGCGCCCGCACATGGTATTTTGTGGAAGAGCCATGTGACTGGTGAGCCACAGTTTGCTGACCACTGGGCTAGGGCATCTGTGTATGCTTTTAATGTAATGTTTTCCCTGCCTGCCCATCCCATACCCACACCCCCATCCCACACATTCCAAAAAGCTGTCTTATAATCTGGTACTGTTCTGCCTAGGTGGCTGGGGGAGAATAGGATAGAACATGTTAGACGAGTATACCAATATGGTTAGAGCCAAAATATGGGGCAACTTTAAAGCCAGGCATTGAAGAGGGATGGAATGACATCACTGGAAGTGGTGTTTTAAGAGTTTTCTTTGCCTGGCTGGCATGGCTTAGTGATTGAGCATTGACCTATGAACCAGGAGGTCACAGTTCAGTTCACGGTCAGGGTACATGCCTGGGTTGTGGGCATGATCCCCAGTAGGGGGTGTGCAGAAGACAGCCAATCAATGATGTTGTGGGCTCAATCCCCCATGTGGGGCATGCAGGAGGCAATGAATCAATGATTCTCTCTAATCATTGATGTTTCTCTCTCTCTCTTCCTCTCTGAAATCAGTAAACATACATTAAAAAAAAGAGTTCACTTTGATAATAGCATATAGGATGAACTGGAAAATGCCTGCATTCAGGGAGGATTTACACTCTATAGTAACTAGAGGCCCGGTGCACGAACTCGTGCACAGGTGGGGTCCAGCCGGCCTACCCTGATAGGGGTGGGGCCAGCCAGGTGGAGGGGCTGTGGGCTGTTGGCCAGCTGGCCCCGCCCCCTGGTTGAACTCCCGGTCAAGGGAACAATTTGCATATTAGCCTTTTATTACATAGGATTGGGTTGGAGGGGATAGCAGTGAAATGTAGAGGAAAAGTTGCATGTGCACAAAACTTAAGGGAAAAGTGAGTAGTACTTGATGCATTAATATCATTCAGGGTTTAGTTACAAACTGTAGAAATTGCTTCTGGCCATGTTAAGCAGAAAAGGAACTTATTGGAGGTCTAATTGGTGTGCTCACCATTACTGGATGGATAGAAAATCAGGTATGAAGTCTAGGCATCTAGAACCAAAGCCACAATCACCCCCACAGAACTTCCCCATGAAAACATCACTGCTTTTGCTGTCCAGTGCAACTCGAGCTCCCACTGCTGGCACTGCTGGATCTTGGTGCTTGGTGAACTCCAGATGATGATTTTTGCCACCAAAAAGGATTTGGTACTGTCCCAGCTTCTTTGCATCATTAACACCTGCTTCAGATAGGCATAGCCCAGGCCCTGTATCTGATTCCTACAGTGGAGGTGGAGGGATAGGCTGGGAAAGCAAGTATCTGGACTTTCCAGCTTCCATAGTGGCAGACAGGCTCTGACTCTCACCAAGACTCAGGTGGAGATTTCCTCAAACAAGTCCAGGCACTAAGTAAAAAATATGCTTTGTATTCCAGGGACCTACAGGATATCAGATTGAGAAAGAAGATACTGAGATTCCCTGAGTTATCAATTAGCTATTCATGAGTATGGTAGTTGTATTGACAGATAGAGCCATTGAAGTTGAGGAGGTGTATCAACTCTGCTACATGCATAGATAACCAAAATTAACCATGACTTAAACTTCCACAGTTTATTTTCTCATGCAAAAGTTAGACATTTCTAGTTTTTAGGCTCCTTCTTGCTCTCTCTGCCGTCAGCCCTGGGATGGGGCTCTCAGCCACAAAGTCCAAGACGGTGCTGGAGTGCTACCAGTTCATCCTCATTTCAGCTAGAAGGAGGCAGGAACGGTTAATAAGGACTATTTCTCTTTAAGGAAATTTCTCAGAATTAAAACACACTCAAAGTTTTTTATTCCAGGAATTTATGTGCCAAAGGGAAAAAAGGAAGTTTTACTCCTACGGAGAAGATGAGAATGGATATTGGGGGACAATAGAGAGAGCACAGAGAGAAGGTTCAGTGCACGTTGGGTTTGAAGTGTCAAGAGGACATTCAGTGGAAAATTCCTGTTGGAAGCTGGAGAAACCTGAATAAAAGTGGTCATGAGAAAATGTGGCTTTTAGATTTGGATTTTTGAGAGTCATTGGTATGGAGCCAAACGTTGAAGCTTTGTGGTCAGATGGACTCTCTGAGGCAGAGATGAGCAGATGTCACACTGAGGTCTGAGAAGTGCTCCTAGTGAGGGGCAAGAAGGAGAAATGAAGATTTTAAGTTTTAAAAATGTATATTCTTAAATAATTAGGTTTGTAACTTTCTCATTGCTTTATTGTACAAGTATGACAGTATTTTGGCATAGACTTCACCATATGGTTACAAAACTGGTTTTGTCAGTAATTACTGCTATTTACATGGTTTTTTGAAATGCTTTTACTTAACTGTCAGACTTAGCTTAGAAGAGACCAGGCCTTCTTTATGTTTTTATTTTTTAATTTATTATGAACTTTAGACAGTTGGACATTATGCATTGAAATAATAGCCTCTCATTAATGCGCAGGGTCTTGTCCCTTCCTCTTTTGCAGGTCTTTGGTGGAAGAGTTTAGAAAGACACTCTGTGCTTTATGGCAAGGTAGCCAAACTGCATTTAGCCCAGAGTCCTTATTTTATGTTGTTTGGAAGATTATGCCAAATTTTAGGTAAGTATTATCTAACAAAAGGTACTTAAAACATTAATATTAGTCTTTATACTGTTCCTGAAACAATTTCCAATGAAGTGGTGGTATTCTAAATAGTAAAGACTGGTTTTGCTCTTTTTTTTTAAAGGAGGAGAACAGAAGTTGGATATATCTGACTAGACAAATGTTTTGTTTAAATAATAGATATTTGAATGTCTTTAACGAAGGGTAGGGTATTTTGTTGTAAAAACAAAGCCCTGTTTCCATGTCTTAGCTATTATAAACAACTATGAACATAGGAGTATATATATTCTTTCAGATTGGTGTTTCAGGATTCTTAGGATATATTCCTAGAAATGGGATCACTGGGTCAAATGGCAGTTCCATTTTTAATTTTTTGAGGGATCTCCACACTGTTTTTCCATAGTGGCTGCACCAGTCTGCATTCCCACCAGCACTGTACTAGGGTTCCCTTTTCTCCACATCCTTGCCAACACTTGTTGTTAGTTGATTGATTGATTGATGATAGGCATTCTGGCAGGTGTGAGATAACTCATTGTCATTTTAATTTGCATCTGTCTGATGATTAGTGCCCAGATGAGCAGATAAAAAAGCTGTGGCACATTTATACCACAGAATACTATGCAGCAGTGAAAAAGAAGGATCTATTACCCTTTGAGACAGCATGGAGGGACCTGGAGATTACTATGCTAAGTGAAATAAGCCAGTTAGAGAAAGACAAATATCACATGAACTCACTTATATGTGGAATCTAATAAACAAAATAAACTGATAAATAGAACAGAACCAGTGGCATGGAAACATGGAACAAACTGACGAATCTCAGAGGGAAGAGGGGAAGAGGGTGAGAAGAGATTAACCAAAGAATTTATATGCATATATACATTGCCTGTGGACACAGACAATAAGGTGGTGAAAGCCTGGGGTGGGGCAGGAAATGGGGAGGGGAGCAGTGGGAGGAGAGAAGAGGGGACATCTGTAATACTCTCAACAGTAAAGTTTATTTTTAAATCCCTTAGGAATTATTTAATGTGCTCTAGGAAAACATACTGGACAAAATTTCCTTGACTCTTTCAAAACCTTACAAAGAATAATTACTGTCATACACTATCTTGTTATTTCAACTAAAAAAAATCTAAATGTAAACAGTAGATGTCTATGGTATTATATCCACAGTTCTGCTCTGGGTCCTGAAGGTTTTAGGAGACTGTAGTCAAGTCCATTGGGATTCACTTTCCAGAAGGTTGCTGGGTCCCATCCTAATGTGGCTTCAGAGTCCCTGTGTTTTCTGTGCTCGCTGTA